TCCAGCCTGGGCGACAGAGCGAGACTCCATTAAAAAAAAAAAAAAAGAAAAAAAGTATAAATGATAGTTTATTTAAGTGATAGTTGGATACATCTGAGGACACTGGCTTTCCTTGAAGATTGACCTCAAACACTTCCAAAATTGAGATGGGGTCGAGGGGCTGGGCTCAGGGCTCCCAAACTGGGAGTGTGGGGTAAGAGTGAGCATTAACTTCCAAAGTCAGAATGCTAGGGGAATCAGGAAAGAACCAAACAAAATCTTCCAAATAACTAAATTCTAGATCTATCCTAGTAGGGACTCATTGTGCTTATTAACTATTCTGTTTAAAGCAGGCCTGGATTTTTCACTAGATAATACATTGTTTTAGGTATAGTATCAACAGTAAACAGTACAATTACAATGATGTCTTTTAGAATAGAGTGTTTTAATATCCAAACGTTCTTATTGGGAGTCTTTCTAAGGTCATACAAATGGATTTACATGCTTGATTAGAAACGATTCTTCTGGTACTGTGGCTGAGGGATGTGGACTGTGCAGATCCCCCCTCCCCCAACTGCTGCTGAGATAATGCAAACAGCTCGGAGGCATTTCTACCCATAAAAGGAACAAGACCGTGCGCATGAGTTACAGTACATGAAGCAGAGACCTCCAGTTCTGAGCCCTATTTCTGGCACTCATGTATTCATATTGCTTATGTATGTGTGAAGGAACAAATAAAGATTAACTACATTCTTAGAGATGCAGTGTTGGGGAAAGAGGATGTCTTTGGTTTTAGGATTTTGCTGTGCCTTGTGGCTAATTACACCTTATGTCATTCTACACTCCTGGCACACTTAATACATTAAGTGATTTTTTATTAATAAGAAACAATAACATTTTATAGTGCTTTCCAGCACACAAACGCTTTCATGTGCATTATATAATGTGTGATTTCTTGGGAGTATTTGGCTAGCAAAGATTAATTGCCTGGGGACTCCTGGAGCACTGTGCTATCAAGAAGACAGGATATTTCCTAAGTACCTGGTTTCAATGTAAAATGACATAGTAGAGAGAGATTGTGAGCTGTGGCAATAAATTTGCTCAACAAGCTATTTTTAGAGGCTCTCAGGATTGAGTGAAATTGGACTATGAAATGAGACTATAAAAACCTTTAAAGAACTTTCATGGATAATACTATCATTTCTTTAAAAAAATTAAAACATGTTGACATCATCTTTTTAGGATGAGGTTGAACCCTAATCTGAAAGAGCAGAGTTTGTGTAGGGGTATTGGAGAACAATACTCGAGGAATATATTAGTATATCTCCCTCCTTCTTGTACCACCAAGAGAGAGGAAGTCTTTGTGTCTCTGTCTCTGCCTTTCTCTGTCTTTTCTTCCAGTGGTGCCCTTGAAATTCAAGGTTGGGATATTCATATTTAAAACATCCTTCCCAGCACTGAACTAATGCGATAGGTATGAAAGTTAGCCTCTATGAATATTTCATAACTTTTCCATGAAACTCTGCAGATAATAATTACCTCCCAGTAAGAGGAGCACTGATATAGGGGAATGAGAGAATGGGGTTTTGGGCAATACTCAACTTGTAGATCCTGAGATGATGGGAGAGTAGGGTAATCGTTAAACATGTCAGATGTAAATGTAAACTTGGATGAAGAGGAGAGAAAAGTGATCTGCAACACTAAGGGAGAGTCATCTGTCAAGGGTGGGGGCTAAACACAGAGAAGCCGGGTGGGGCCTTGGAGGCAGAGGAAAATAGGACCTCTTTCCTAGACCAATAGGTCCACCAGAACCAATAGTCCAGATGGCTGACCATCATTTCCTGCTTCTCAACTATACCCAGCAGAGTGCATAAAACTTGGAGAAAGTGCCTCCAGGACGGAACATCTTCACACATGACTTGCATCTCTAAATTCTGTGAAAAACAAACTCAAGGTCCACTGATTTGCTCATGAGCCCAAACTCTGCTCTGACTCCTTCTTGTCCTTTGTCATTCAACAATGATAGGTGAGATGAGAGCAGGAGGAGCTATGTCCTTCCTTCCCTAGCTCCTTTGTGTTATCCTGAAACACAGAGGTGAGGAGGGCAATAAATAAGATGCTTTTTAAAAAGTTGCATTCCCCAGCACTTTGGGAGGCCGAGGCGGGCAGATCACAAGGTCAGGAGATCGAGACCACGGTGAAACCCCGTCTCTACTAAAAATACAAAAAATTAGCCGGGCGCGGTGGCGGGCGCCTGTAGTCCCAGCTACTCAGGAGGCTGAGGCAGGAGAATGGCGTGAACCTGGGAGGCGGAGTTTGCAGTGAGCCGATTGTGCCACTGCACTCCAGCCTGGAGGACTCCATCTCAAAAAAAAAAAAAAAAAAAAAAAGAAGAAAAAAAAAGTTGCATTCTTCTGCCTTTGTTCTCTTGACATTCAGTTCCACCATAACACCAGGCTGTGCCCATTATGTAGTGAATCCACTCACACCGAAGTCTTCTCAGAGCCTCTGCAGGAGGATGCCACGACCACTTTGGAAATTGCATGGCAACGTCATATTCAAACCTGTCTAGTTTAAATTTCTCATTTTGCAGTTTAAAATGAACTCCTTGGGCTTATCCATGGGAGATGCATAACACAGTTCTCATCACTGGGAAATGTGTTTCTGACACTGGAAAAAGTGCTGTATCCTTTCATATATAATGCTGATTTTATTTCTAATGTCAGAGAATGCTATCACCATTCTCCAGAGCTAGCAATACAATCAGCATTTATTACCAAGTACCTACTATAAGCCCATGTGTGACAGGAAGAAAGAGGCTTACCTTGTGAGAAGGAAGAGCCTGGCAGAGGGATTAGGAGTGTATATATATATATATATATATATATATTTTTTTTTTTTTTTGAGACAGAATCTCACTCTTTTGCCCAAGCTCAGATCAGTGGCTCGATCATGGCTCATTGCAGCCTTGATCTGGGCTCAAGTGATCCTCCCACCTCAGCCTCCTAAGTAGCTAGGACCACAACCACGCACCACCACGTCCGGCTCATTTTAAATTTTTTTTGTAGAGATGGGGTCTCCTCATGTTGCCCAGGCTGGTCTCGAACTCCTGGACTCACACAATCTCCCTGTCTTGGACTCCCAAAGTGCTGGGATTACAGGTGTGAGCTACTGTGCCCAGCCTGAGCAGCTGTTTTAGAGAGGGTCTCATGTAGCTGAGAGACAACAGAGGAGAAGTAGGAAAGTTTGTGGGGTCTTACTGCCTCAAGAGACCAAGCACAACATAGATATTTAGAAATAGAACAGAGTGTCAGATTCTTTAGTAAAAAATTCCATTTTGCTTTTTGAATTTCTGTATCATTAGCCATTGAAGGATAGTGTGTATGAGGGAGGAAGGAGTTTGGGAAGTCAAGTTAAAATGCAGTCTTTTGTATTCCAGGGAACACTTTGATCTTTTCTGAGAATATCCAGCTCCCTTAAGTTAGGTGCCTACTCTGATGTAACGGAACAGGATTCCAGGCAGATCCTTCTCTCGAAAGCACATCTCCTGGCCAATGAGATGGAGCTGCCCAGCCAGGATTTCTGGCACTGGGTATTTCCTCAGCTTGTCTTCCTCTCTAGATTACATGGATTACATGGAATCTTCTTGTTTCTGAGACCTGAATTTTGTTTGTTTGGTTGGTTTTTGTTTTTTTTTTTTTCTATTTAATGTAACCAACCAGATTTTTTTTTCTTTTAACTTTTAAGTTCAGAGGTACATGTGCAGGTTCGTTACATAGGTAAATTTGTGTCATGGGGTTTATTGTACAGATTTTTTTTTAATCACCCAGGTATTAAGAGACTTGATATTATAATGAGAAAAGAGCAGAAGTTTGGGGAGTAATAGAGGAGGATAACTGTCTGCACCAAAGAGGATACTAACGAATCCTAGTGGAACAAAGAATGGGGATTAAAAAAACCTTGTCCTTGAAGAATCACAGAGAAAAATGTTATTTAATTTTATCTTTCTATAGATTTGATAGACATTGCTTGGGGATAGACTTGCATTATTTCTTCAGAATCTCTGATTAATTCACCAAAGAAGAAATATGCTAGTCCTTGCATCGCAGCGTAATTTCCATAACTGAATTTCTATGATTCTCATATATACCATTAAAATATTTTAAGTCATTTTATTTCTTAATAAAGGATGAAATTTAAATAGTACTATCATGAAATTTGGCTCATCAGAAGCTGCTCGTCAAGTTAATGTACTGCTGCTTTTCTCTTAGAGAGATGTGCATTCTCCTTCATGTAGAAATTCACCAGGCAGAGCTACTGCAGAGGGGGAGGAAAAGAGAACTTTTTTTTTTTTTTTTGAGATGCAGTCTCGCACTATCATCAGGACTGGAGTGCAGTGGTGTGATCTTGGCTCACTGCAACCTCCGCCTCCTGGGTTCAAGTGATTCTCGTGCCTCAGCCTCCCAAGTAGCTGGGACTACAGGCATACCCCAGCACACACAGCTAATTTTTGTATTTTTAGTAGAGACAGGATTTCACCATGTTGACCAGGATGGTCTTGATCTCCTGACCTTGTGATCCTCCCACCTTGGCCTCCCAAAGTGCTGGGATTACAGGTGTGAGCCACCATGCCCAGCCAGAAAAGAGAACTCTTAATGCACATACCAAAGAAAGTTTAGAAACCTTTAAAAAAGAAGTAGAAGAAGGCAAAAAGACTAAATAAGAAAAAACAATATTTCTTGATATAGTAGATTCTTGATTTCAACAACCATGAAATGAAAAAAAAAAGTGCATTAAATCCTCTGAAGTCACCATTATCAGATACTTTCTTTAAAGGTTGCCGGTCCCCGTTTTCAAAGAAGTGGAAAAATGCTAACATTTTTTACTGAACAAATGGATCCTTCTGTGGGCTGACCCTTTTCACCCTCAAAATGCTCTGCATGGTGCTCTTTTCTGGGCTCTGAGTTAATTGCAGGGTTTATGGGAATAACTAGATACTGGCTGTAAAAGTGGAGCTAAGTGTCTGCCAATAAAATATAATTCTTTTCCTCATTTCACAGGGAACAGTCTTCTAAATTGCTCAGGAGATGGTAAAAGATGGGAAAGCTGAGTCGGTAGGGATATCACAAAGGAAAACTATGGTAAGTTTACTAGCTGCTTGTGACACTGAAGCTATATATCTATTTATCTATATCCTAACCCTCTTCTACTCTTCATCTCCTACCATAAGTACAGCGCTTGGACATCAGTTAGAGTTTCGGAAATTACTTGAGGAACCACATATAGAAACTTTTATGATGACACAAAGCCATTTCTTCTGCCGTGTATATGACTACACTTAAGGTTAGTTGATGAAGTAGTAGGCTCCAAGATAACTTGTGGTCAATTGTAGTTGTCTCAGGGGTTGTTTATAGCTTAGAGCCTAAGATTTTTTCCTGTATCCAGAAAAATCTGCTGAGTTCTAGATTACCGTGGTATAGAGTATCTTTTCCAGTGAAACTGGAATTGGATCTGTAGCAGTTGGTGACGTTGCTAAATAGGATGTTTGGCTGACGTGCACTACCCTTAAGAAACTTTTAATGTGTTAACTGGTAGGAAATGAATGAAGCAAAAGAGTAACTCAAGATGAGGTGTAATGTACTGCATACTAAATCTTAGTAAAACTAGACTATCTATTAAAATGATACCATATTCCTTACTCTAAAACACAGTGATCTATGGTAGTCACAGGGACAAAAATGCCTCCTAAACTACCAAAAACTGTTGAGCCAAGGTTAAGCATGCTCTTCAAGTGCCATGACATACCTATATTTGCCAGACTTGCCTGGTCATAAGAAAAGTTTACTTGTTAAAAACGCAGATTTTTGTGTCCATATAAGGGCTTCGAAACCAGACCCATTTAGAGACAGAACTGTGAATATGAATTTCAATAAGCTTCATAGGCATTTCTAATTAGGTGCCATGTGGTCTCTTGAACTTATATGAAGATTCCACAATGGTATTAATTCTTAGATCTAAAGAAATCCTGTCTTTTGAAAGCTTTAACATATTATAATGTAGATAAACCTGGGATAATTGAATGGAGATTTATTAAAATGCCAGAAGAGAAATGTAGTACTTTCATGTTGGTGACTTCAGTTGTCTACATTTAATTAGGTTGACCTATATTAACTTGCATACCCAGGGGAAAAAAGAAAAAGAGGTAATCTAAAAGACCGTTTAGAGTTTACCTCCTGCAGGACTGCACCTAGCCATGTTGACAAGATACCTATTCCTACCAAAAAGTGCAAGAGTGACTGTGTGCTTGCTGTAGATTTGAAATACAAGTCATTTGTGATTGACTTGTAGTGAATTCACGAAAAGTTGTCCATTAAAAGGGGGAAAGAATAGGTCAAATAGCTATAGGGGAGTGAGAAGGATCTGGGTGTATCATCTGAGGATGACAGGGATGAGAATTTTCTAGGTCTTGAAATACATGAAGAGTAATTATTCTGAGGATAATAATGAGGCATTCTTCATCTTGGCTAGACTTGAGGGAAAGAAAATGGCTCTGACCAGCCTGACAGATTTAGTTTATCCAAAAGAAAGAACATGGTATGGAGACTTATTAAGAGGATAAATGAATGAAATGAATAGAGTAGAATCTCTACAGCAAAGTTTATGCCTAATATTGACACTTAAGATTTAGCATCAACTCTTTGTCTCTTTTGAAAAGTTTGGTTAAAAGTGTGTGTACTATGGAAAACTCTTAAGGCTCTTATTTACCACCTTGAACTATTGTAAATGTCATAAGAAATTCATTTTAGTTGAGATAAAAAAGCATTTAGCGCTTCCAGTGCAAGCTAATTCAATATGAGCAGAGAGGAGGACTCCTGAGGAGAGAGAGCATAGCCTTTTTTTCCTCCTAATAATTCTTACTTTGACAAGTATAATGTGCCCCATTATTAATGAATGTGAACATAGTCATTGAATCTCTTGCAAGCATACCAGTTGAAAATTGGTGTATTTTCTAAGAGATGAACTGTTACATTTTATGAACATTCTTCATAATTCTTAGGAGGTTTGTATCTGGCATATATTAAGGAGATTACTTGCTTATAATTTTTCCTCTTAATTAATCTCATTATTTGAAAAAATGTATGCGGCACATACTTTAAGTAATTAAGTTTTTCCCTTTGCCTCTCAGATATAGCATCAGAATATAATAGAAGTAGAACAGAAATCCTGAGTATAATTAGGAAAACAACTTTGTGCCTAGCTAAATCATTCAGAACTCATAAGCTTAAAATTTGACTGGAAGCAAAACCTTTTGGTGTTTTCTTTTCCAGAGAAAACAATTTTTTTTACAAGTTTTAAATAAGGTCAATATAATCTATTTTAAAGTATGCTCATGGTGCTTACATTATATCCTTTCAGCATGTGGGAGGATAAAATAATTTCAACATAGAAAATTATCCTGAGTGTCCACACAGGATGCTAACTTCAGTGTAGTGCACTGGTTAAGACTGAGACTCTTGGATGTCATTCATCATTCAATCATTCAATAAACAGTTCTGGGTGGCTACTATGTTGTAGGCTCATTCTCAGGTATGGAGGACATAAAAGTAAACAAGACAGAAAGAGCCTTGCCTTCAGGAATTGTATATTGTAGGGGGAGATAAGCCATGGAAAATTAAGTAAATGAAGAAAATAATAATGATAGAGGAGATAAACAGGTTTTGAAAGGGGGCCCAACTTAATCAGAGTGGGCCCCCTTTGCAGAGCTGATAGATTTGAATCCCAATTCTGCCATTTCTTTGTTGAGTGATGTTGGACATGTCACTTCTCTGAGCTTTGGTTTTCTTGTCTGTGGAATGAGGATACTTACTACCTAGAGATAATGTGAGGCTCAAGCAAGATAGCAAAGGCAACACAGGGCTGGACACACAGTAAATACTCAGCTACTTAATGTTAGCTAATTAAGTAACTTGCTGCAAAAAGATCAGGAATCATTTTGTTCATTGTGGTGCATTCTGCTCAGGCCATGCAGAGTGTTGTTTCTCTCTTGTTGGTAATCTGTAGTCAGTTGATTTACCAGTTTGTATTAAAACAGCTGGAGAGACTAAAGGAAGGCTTGGTCCTTGTCAGCAACAGTGATTGTAAGCTGGCTGTCCAGATGAGGGTGGCTGAGTTCCGGTTACAAAATATCTGCCTTTCCCCAAATTTATGCATTTCTCTTTCAGGAAGACCTAAGTAGAGGTCTTTTTGGACTCAGAGAACTTGTACTGTAAGAAGTTTTCTGTTTTTGTTTTCTTTCCTTTTCCCCAAATGTTAGGTCAAAGCATGAAGAAGAACAGAAGGATTTGCAGAGGGGAAACAGATGTTTACTGTTCATTTCATAATCACAAGGCTGGATGGATGTGGAACAACAAATCACAGCTTCAAAACACAACTACATTAAAACCATCCCAAAGATCCCAGGCTCTTTCCTGTTTTTTTTTTTTTTAAGATTCCTTTGTTTATTCCCATGAGGGCAGGTGCTCTCTAATTTCCCTCAGTGAACCCTCTGAAGGTCTTATGGTCATGTTGATTATTTATTTCATAGGCAGAGTGATTCACATGTATGTAGCTTTGCAGATTATGCCCAAGCTCAAGGCTTTTCCCCAGCAGCTGGTACTTGGCTACCCATGGCTGCCCTTGAGTAGGTAAGGTTAGTCTCCTTACTGCTACACATCACAATTCCCACTTGCCTCTAGTCTGACTCCCTGAGGCTTCTCCTCCCACCCTGCACCAGCCCTCTCCCAATACTTTCTGTTCTCAGCCTTCTGTATTCTCCTTCTTCCAGGGGCTCTCTATGTCCCCACCATGGGTACAGATCTTTTTAGAGAGCACCCTGGTTCCTTACTTAGGAATTTGATAGCTGTTTCCAAGAGGCTATAAAGGCCTTTTCTGTTTGATGCAATCTGCTGGAAACTCCCAAGTCAAGAAATTTTACATGCATAAGTGTTTTTAAGTTGCTTTTTACTGATGGATGGTTGACTATATAATTGATCCTTTTGGCTTGATTCATAGGCACCTTTACAGCATAAAGAAGGGTTTTCTGAACCTACTAAGTCACATTAGCTTAAACTATATACATTTGTGATATCTAAATGGGTTTGAACTCTAAAACGGCAGTGTCACAAGTTCTACCTAATTAGAAATGCCTATGAAACTTATTGAAACTCATATTTAGAGGTTCCAAGATGGCCAAATAGGAACAGCTCCAGTCTACAGCTCCCAGTGTGAGCGATGCAGAAGATGGGTGATTTCTGCATTTCCAACTGAGGTACCAGGTTCATCTCACTGGGGCTTGTCGTACAGTGGGTGCCGGACAGCGGGTGCAGCCCACCGAGCGAGAGCCGAAGCAGGGCGAGGCATTGCCTCACCCAGGTAGTGCAAGGGGTCAGGGAATTCCCTTTCCTAGCCAAGGGAAGCTGTGACAGATGGCACCTGGAAAATCAGGTCACTCCTACCCTAATACTACACTTTTCCAATGGTCTTAGCAAACAGCACACCAGGAGATTATATCATGCACCTGGCTTGGTGGGTCCCATGCCCACGGAGCCTCACTCATTGCTAGCACAGCAGTCTGAGATTGAACTGCAAGGAGGCAGTGAGGCTTGGGGAGGGGCGCCCGCCATTGCTGACACTTGAATAGGTAAACAAAGCGGCCAGGAAGCTCAAGCTAGGTGGAATCCACCCCACTTTGGTGAATCTGACAATTATGTGCCTTGGAGTTGCTTTTCTCGAGGAGTATCTCTGTGGCGTTCTCTGTATTTCCTGAATTTGAATGTTGGCCTGCCTTGCTAGGTTGGGGAAGTTCCCCTGGATAATATCCTGAAGAGTGTTTTCCAACTTGGTTCCATTCTCCCTGTCACTTTGGAGCTCCCGTCACTAGGAGCTATAGCTGAACAAAAGGCAGCAGAAACTTCTGCAGACTTAAATGTCCCTGTCTGACAGCTTTGAAGAGAGTAGTGGTTCTCCCGGCATGGAGTTTGAGATCTGAGAACGGGCAGACTGCCTCTTCAAGTGGGTCCCTGACCCCTAAGTAGCCTAACTGGGAGGCACCTCCCAGTAGGGGCCAACTGACACCTCACACGGCCAGGTGCCTCTCTGAGACAAAGCTTCCAGAGGAAGGATCAGGCAGCAACATCTGCCGTTCTGCAATATTTGCTGTTCTGCAGCCTCCACTGGTGATACCCAGGCAAACAGGGTCTGGAGTGGACCTCCGGCAAACTCCAACAGACCTGCAACTGAGGGTCCTGACTGTTAGAAGGAAAACTAACAAACAGAAAGGACATCCACACCAAAACCCCATCTGAATGTCACTGTCATCAAAGACCAAAGGTAGATAAAACCACAAAGATGGGGAGAAACCAGAGCAGGAAAGCTGAAAATTCTAAAAATCAGAGCGCATCTTCTCCTCCAAAGGAATGCAGCTCCTCGCCAGCAACAGAACAAAGCTGGGTGGAGAATGACTGTGACAAGTTGAGAGAAGACTTCAGGTGATCAAACTTCTCCAAGCTAAAGGAGGATGTTTGAACCCATTGCAAAGAAGCTAAAAACCTTGAAACAAGATTACACTAATGGCTAACTAGAATAACCAGTGTAGAGAAGTCCTTAAATGACCTGATGGAGCTGAAAACTATGGCACAAGGACTATGTGACATATGCACAAGCTTCAGTAGCCTATTCGATCAACTGGAAGAAAAGGTGTCAGTGATTGGAGATCAAATGAATGAAATGAAGCGAGAAGAGAAGTTTAGAGAAAAAAGAGTAAAAAGAAATGAACAAAGCCTCCAAGAAATATGTGACTATGTGAAAAGACCAAATCTACGTCTGATTGGTGTGCCTGAAAGTGATGGGGAGAATGGGACCAAGTTGGAAAACACTCTGCAGGATATTATGCAGGAGAACTTTCCCAAAATAGCAAGGCAGGCCAACATTCAAATTCAGGAAATACAGAGAATGCCACAAAGATACTCCTTGAGAAAAGCAACTCCAAGACACATAATTGTCAGATTCACCAAAGTTGAAATGAAGGAAAAATTGTTAAGGACAGCCAGAGAGAAAGGTCTGGTTACCCACAAAGGGAAGCCCATCAGACTAACAGCAGATCTCTTGGCAGAAACTCTACAAGCCAGAAGGGAGTGGGGGCCAATATTCAACATTCTTAAAGAAAAGAATTTTCAACCCAGAATTTCATATCCAGCCAAACTAAGCTTCATAAGTGAAGGAGAAATAAAATCCTTTACAGCCAAGCAAATGCTGAGAGATTTTGTCACCACCAGGCCTGCCTTACAAGAGCTCCTGAAGGAAGCACTAAACATGGAACAACCAGTACCAGTCACTGCAAAAACATGCCAAATTGTAAAGACCATCGATGCTAGGAAGAAACTGCATCAACTAATGAGCAAAATAACCAGCTAATATCATAATGACAGGATGAAGTTCACACATAACAATATTAACCTTAAATGTAAATGGGCTAAATGCTCCAATTAAAAGACACAGACTGGCAAATTGGATAAAGAATCAAGACCCATCGGTTTGCTGTATTCAGGAGACCGATCTCACATGCAGAGACACACATAGGCTCAAAATAAAGGGATGGAGGAAGATCTACCAAGCAAATGGAAAATAAAAAAAAGCAGGGGTTGCAATCCTAGTCTCTGATAAAACAGACTTTAAAACAACAAAGATCAGAAGAGACAAAGAAGGCCATTACATAATGGTAAAGGGATCAATTCAACAAGAAGAGCTAATTATCGTAAATATATATGCACCCAATACAGGAGCACCCAGATTCATAAAGAAAGTCCATAGACACTTAAAAAAGACTTAGACTCCCACACAATAATAATGGGAGACTTTAACACCCCACTGTCAACATTAGACAGATCAACGAGAGAGAAAGTTAACAAGGATATCCAGGAATTGAACTCAGCTCTGCACCAAACATACCTAATAGACATCTACAGAACTTTCCACCCAAAATCAACAGAATATACATTCTTTTCAGCACCACATCACACTTATTCCAAAATTGACCACATAATTGGAAGTCAATTACTTCTCAGCAAATGTAAAAGAAGAGAAATTATAACAAACTGTCTCTCAGACCATAGTGCAATCAAACTAGAACTCAGGATTAAGAAACTCACTCAAAACCGCTCAACTACATGGAAACTGAACAATCTGCTCCTGAATGACTACTGCATACATAACGAAATGAAGGCAGAAATAAAGATGTTCTTTGAAACCAATGAGAACAAAGACACAACATACCAGACTCTGAGATACTTTTAAAGCAGTGTGTAGAGGGAAATTTATAGCACTAAATACCCACCAGAGAAAGCAGGAAAGATCTAAAATTGATACCCTAACATCACAATTAAAATAACTAGAAAAGTAAGAGCAAACACATTCAAAAGCTAGCAGAAGGCAAGAAATAACTAAGATCAGAGCAGAACTGAAGGAGATAGGGACAGAAAAAACCCTTCAAAAAAATCAATGAATCCAGGAGCTGGTTTTTTGAAAAGATCAACAAAATTCATAGACTGCTAGCAAGACTAATAAAGAAGAAAAGAGAGAAGAATCAAATAGACGCAATAAAAAATGATAAAGGGGTTATCACCACCGATCCCACAGAAATACAAACTACCATCAGAGAATACTATAAACACCTCTATGCAAATAAACTAGAAAATCTAGAAGAAATGGATAAATTCCTGGACACATACACCCTCCCAAGACTAAACTAGGAAGAAGTTGAATCACTGAATAGATGAATAACAGGCTCTGATATTGAGGCAATAATTAATAGCCTACCAACCAAAAAAAGTCCAGAACCAGACGGATTCACAGCCAAATTCTACCAGAGGTAAAGGAGGAGCTGGTACCATTCCTTCTGAAACCATTCCAATTGATAGAATTAGAGGGAATCCTCCCTAACTCATGAGGCCAGCATCATCCTGATACCAAAGCCTGGCAGAGACAAAACAAAAAAAGAGAATTTTAGACCAATATCCCTGATGAACATCGATGCAAAAATCCTCAAAAAAATACTGGCAAACCGAACCCGGCAGCACATCAAAAAGCTTATCCACCATGGTCAAGTGGGCTTCATCCCTGGGATGCAAGGCTGGTTCAATATATGCAAATCAATAAACGTAATCCATTATATAAATGGAACCAAAGACAAAAACCACATGATTATTTCAATAGATGCAGAAAAGGCCTTCGAAAAAATTCCACAGCCCTTCATGCTAAAACTCTCAATAAATTAGATATTGATGGGATGTATCTCAAAATAATAAGAGCTATTTATGATAGACCTACGGCCAATATCATACTGAATGGGCAAAAACTGGAAGCATTCCCTTTGAAAACTGGCACAAGACAGGGATGCACTCTCTCACCACTCCTATTTA